CATAGCATTAGTTTTAGGTTTTGAAAGCATCTCTCAGCATTAGCCCTCGTAAATCCTAAATCCTGTTCTCTTGGATTTTAAACACTCCGTTTATAATTTTTGGGTATAGGTTTTAACGAGCTTTTGCAACATAATCTGTAACTCTGCATGAGTTTATTGAGTTCCTTACTCATTGGTCAGCGGATTTCCCAACAGGCTTTTAAATAGCCTAATTTGATAAGGGACCCGAGGTACCTACAATTTTAACGCCCTTAAGAAGACGCGAAAGTTTAGACAGGGTTCGTAGCGGCGAAGACGCGAAAGTTTAGACAGGGTTCGTAGCGGTCTTTGAAATCCTTGAAAGTCTTTAAATTTGAATGCAGGTTTTTAAGGTCTTTGAAAAGTCTTTGAATTGTGTGAAAAAGCGAAGAGTCTTTGAATTCTTTAGTGAGTATTTAATTATACGATTTCCTAGCTAATAAAATAGATTGATTGAAGCAAGATTTTCGCAAATATCGACGAAAATGCGCATTTTAGGATGTGATTTGACTGGACTAATTACCTGGTAAAAATGGTGCTTACACTCGCAATTTTTCGACAGCTGATTGCTCTCAAAGTTATTTGAAAATTCTTTGAAAACAGGCAGAACAAATCTTTGAAAGTCTTTGAATTTTTTTGGTCTTGGAGACTACGAACCCTGTAAAGGTTGCACTTTCTCCTCAGTTATTTTAAGACCTTGAGTAGAGGTCCGACCAAGCATTGAACTCGGGTCTCCCAAAAGGCAAGCGTGCATGGTGATCACCACGACAGCACAAGAGCTGGTCAAATAATCATCATTTCCCGGATATAGGTCCGAGATTTGGAGCAGAAACTGGAGTCTGCTGTTGCGAACGCACATCGTTTGGAAGTGATGAACGAGAGATTACGGGAACAATTAGAAAAATCAGAAGAAGAGAAAATACTTACGGTAGAAAAAGAATCCAGATTCTACCAAGAGAAAAATAAGTAAGTGACGTCTTCTTACACCATAGGAGGCCTAATAGATAGTTGTAATGGGCACAAAAAAAGACTATAAAAATGGCTTAAAATTCAATAAAAATTCATTGTGTTATCGTGAAAATATTCTAGCAACCTTTTTGTAGCCATAGGTTGCAAGGTATTTATTTACACCATGCATACGATGCTTAATCTTGCAAATCGTAAAGCCGGTCTTTATTATTGGGAAGGAAGGAAATTCTTTTCCGATATCCACCTACATGCTCACTTCACAACCAAAATTTTTATGTGAAAATAACCAAAAAAATTATGTCGGAGAAAACTTTGATACTCGAATATAACATTACTGTGAGAAAATTATTTCGAAAAACAAATACAAAAATGAAGTTCTATTCTTGTCTTATTTAGATTGGAGAAGAAATTAGTGGATATAAAGGAAGAAAAACTGGCGCTAGAGAGACAGGAAAATGAACAAAAGAAACGAAGAGCGGAAAAGGTACGTAGCTTGGGCACTGTGGTACTTACTACCATAGATATCTTATATACACTAGATAGCGCATCTCTTTTAGTAAAATTGAAGCCAAGAATATTCCAGCGGTTACCCCCATTTGAATAGATGGCGGCCATGTTGGAGTTTCCCACTCGCTAATAAATTAAACGCTTAAAAAACAATAACTTTCATCATTTGAATAGTTTGAAAATGTATTTGGAATAGGTTTAAGTTCCCTGTTTAAGAAATAGAAAACATACGAGTCTTCTCATTTCATGGGAATATCCTGAGTATGCAATCACGGCTTCAATTTTGAATTGCAGAATAATTAGATTCACTATCTAGTGCATATTTTCCAGTGCATGGTAATTTTGGTTCTATTATATTTTACAGCTGACAAACAGACATACATTTTTTTCCCAATCCATGAGCTAGTCAAAAACCTGATTACCCAACCCATATCTCTTCGGTACCAACCCCGGGTATAAATAATGAACGTTCCCTCAAACCCAAATACATTTATTTGTATATTCTTTGTTTGTTTGAAATTATGGTTCGCTTGTCACTTTATTTATCTTTCATTTGTTTCCTTCCAAAAGGAAGCAGAACTCGAAGAGCTGGAAGTGACGTTAGCTGCAACTAAAAGTGAACTCACTATGACAAAGAAACGTCTTGCCGACTTGCAGCAAGCCATGGAGGACAATCTCCATGACGACAGCGACATGACGTCAGAATCCGATGATGACGATGATAACGTCACACGCAGCTCGATGTCGTCATATCGAGCCCTGAGTGGCTCGCGTGTTTCCTCCGAACCTCGTTCCTATAAGTCGTACGAAGACTTGGACGATGCACATGATATCACTGACAGACTAACACGTAAATTGAACGCGCTAGATGACTTAGGCTCACCGACTTCATCCCGATCTGGGATCGGGCAGCCGTCGGTCTCCGACGAAGGTTCGACTGCGTCCGATCTTCATGTATAATAGTATTTAACCATTAGGCAATTTACTTCAATTCAGTTTGAAGCTCAGATCAGAATAGTCAATCAAGACATTGTCTGAAAACTGGGTAAATTTCAAAGCATCTAGAATGAATTACGATTTTATTTACCGCGCACAGACCTTTCGAGAGTGTGTCAAAATATTGGCACACTTTATGATTGACACCCACCGCAATAAAAAGCATACCTACGCTCCCCCTCCCCCCCCCTCCCCCCACAACTTCTCATACGATGCTGTTGTGTAGTGATTGTTAGATTTACAATATTGTGAGGATACATGGCAGTACATATACCTGATTTGTAATCCAAGTGAGAATATATACATTTTAAGACCTCAATTCCTACCAGAGGACCTTGTGCTGCATTTTCGCAGTCGTTCCTGGTTAGGTCTTAAAATGTATATATTCTCACTTGGATTACAAACCCCCTTACATTCTAACAGTATTTATTATATACACAAGGTCTGGATATGAGGTATTCTGCAATCTGATTGGTTCTCTACTAGCAGGATATTAGCTCATATCCTGCTAGTAGAGAAAAACAAAATGGCGGCCAAACTGAAGTTACGATGTTTTGCAAACGAGAAAACGGCAAGTTGTCGCTTTTTATAGCCTTCACAGGATTAAAAACACAATGAAAAAACTCCCACAAATTGTTTTCAGGTTAGCAAATAAATTTTTAATATTTAAAATGGTTAAAAATATATATTTTTGAAAAAATAATCGGCCGAAAGAGCGAAGATAAAAACATAAACAAAATAGAAAAATATTGAAAACATTCGAAAAGCAAAGTCTGTGAATTCAGACCTTGTGTATATAATAAAACAGTTATTCCACTCACTCTCGTCGAATATGAGCGATAGCCGATTCGGCGCTACGCGCCTCATCGGCTATCAGCTCATATTCGACTCGAGTTCGTAGAATAACTGTTAAATATACCGTATACGTTGTAAAAGCGTTAGCCTTGAAGTGTTCTGTGATTACATTGGTTCAAATTCATTTCGGGAGGAAAAAGAATGACAACCGAGATGACAATCATTTTTCGAATCGGTGAATCACCTTTCCGGAAAGTACTTAGGGTGAAATGACCGAGTTTCCATACGAATTCTTGATTGACTAGGATCAGACTCGAACCTCGTGTATGAGGTTCTGGCATGCCGAGAAACAGTGCCGCCAAGAGATGGGGTAGGGGAGGGGGGGGGGCATTTTTTCCAGGGGGCCCAGCTCAAAAAGGGGCCCTCAAAGCGACGAAGTCACTTAGAATTCTTTTACACAAAATTGCTAAACCGAGAATATAAATTCTCATTCCCAGATAATATGCAACAAAGTGTAATATATTGTAAAACACCGTTTCTCCCGATGACGTCAGGGGCTCATGGAAAGTTTTACGGCGTCAGAGGTCCCCCTGGGAAAGTTTTGTCCCGGGCCCCACGCAACCTCTCGGCGGCTCTGCTGAGAGGTGATGTGCTATATATATAGTCTTAATTTATCTCATTTAACTTAATTCTTAACATGATGAATCTGCGCAGATCCGTAAAGTTTGCTTTCCATTTGCGAGTGACTCAATCATTGCTCAGCCGTGATGGTAATATCCTCGGGCACGAACATATCCCTTGTACACACGTAAAAATCTCACAACTTGTCAACATGATGTGTTCGCAACAGGCTTGTAGCAAGCTTGTCAACAAGTTGTAGCAATGCTGTTATTTTATCAAGTTGCTACAAGGTTGTCACTCACAAGTTGTTGACAAATTGTTGAATTGCAGGACGATAACAAGTTGTTGGAACAATTTGTAACAAGTCTGTTGAGCTCAACAACCTTGTAGCAAGTTGGGAACAAGCAGTGCGAACACATCCTGTTGACAAGTTGTTGGAACAGCATTGCTACAAGTCCGCTGCAGGTTTGTTACAACTTGTGCGTTTTTACGTATGTACCTATTGAGCGCGAAACATGAGTAGCCTTGTGTTTTGAAGTATGCGACGCAGCCTAAACATGAAGAGGATTATATTAACCGTCGCTACAGCAATGATCAAATGGAAACCAAATTCCACCATTCGAGATTTATTGTGAATTGACAACACAATAGCAACTAAACAACAAGACGCAACACAACACAACAACACAACACAACAATTATAATGTTACTAGTTCAGCCTAGCAAACCAAAGTATTTCAAAAATCTGACGGTTTAAAAACCTGCGAATCAAAAATACTAATCTAATTTTTATATATAATTTACCGAATTTGAATTATTTTTTAACAATATAGAACAACTCGGAAAATATTTTAACTATGTAGTAAACTATATAGTTGCGACTTAATGCACAATAATTGTTACTATGAACGACAGCTTCAGTTTTTGCATGGTGATTTAACGAACATACGTAAATTGTTTTAGCAACATATTCACTGCCCATCAACATGTTAACCATAACTTCAACAGAACGGTTTGTGGAAAGTACAGGCGCATTATAATTATTTACGCTCGATCCAGCCGTTCTGATGAGGGAGAGCGACCTACCAGCTGGAACCTAGCCTGCAGAGCAGTTGTTTTGGTTAGGGGCTTAGCCAAAGCCCCTAGGCCTAACCAAAACGCCTGCTCTTCAGGCTAGCTGGAACCGAGCCTAATATTTCTCTCAAACGAGGTTTAACATTACTGAATGCAACATTGTGCCACTCCTTTGAACACTATGTTGAGTAATGTTGGCTGACTTGGGAAAATGTTGGGTCGGGTTCACCTTGTTTAATTAAAAAACTATCGTTGAATTAGGAGATATTGTTTCACTGAATCGAACGGTAGTATTTTTGTCTTCATATCATGCACCGAACCGAAGATTATGAACATGCCAAAGTCATATTGCACCGGTGCAATACGTTAATAGGGACATGTCGAGAAATCTCTTTCAAAACAAACCAAAAATATTAAATTAACTCCACTATTTTGCTGTAAACGGCTGGACAAAACTTTAAAATCAACCAAGATGGCGCGTAGTGACGTCATGTTCAAGCAAAGAATTCTTTCTTTGAAACCAGAGCTTTGAAACCTAATAACCCATGTAATTTATTCTACATGTAAGACAGTTGGCAGTTACACTAAATATTTTCCATCTCAGTGGACAAGAGCCAGATTTTCTCAAACGGTGATCAAACACTGACATTCCGCTGCAGTGTTAAGCCATTATTTGGTAAGTAGTGATATCGTTTCTTAACAGCAAATTCAAAAATTAACGTTTTACTGTAATATATCATGCTTAATTTTAATAGTATAATAGCTACATATAGACTATAGTGACTGTTGCACGATTAGAACTTCCTCAGTAAGCAGAATACGCGATCGCGGCGAAAGAAACGAGAACGGAGAGCCTCTCGTTTCTTTCGCTTCGCAAAGAGCCTCTGGAACCAGGGTATAAGCAGAAGCAATAGATGAATAGAACTTCAGTCTAATGAGTAATGCCTAATGGTCATAATAACGTTGTGATGTCTTAATATTAAGGGACGGTTTTTTGGACCAACAAATCCGACGACATACTTTTCAAATGCAAAGATTAATATAAACAAAGATTGGCATTCAAATATTTCTTTGCCATTTTGTTGTTTAAGCAAAGACTGTTTTGCTTTAAAAATTTACAAAGTATATTGAGCGTATATACTATAATAGAGCGTTTAAACATGACGTCACAGCCACACGTCGATGTCCCAATTCAAAAGAATTTAATAGACTCTCTTGTCTGGAAAGTCAACATGGCCGGTCCCTGCGGAATGAGTGCAAACGCTCTGTAGGTTAAAAACCAAACGTCGGACGTCTACGTCGGACCAAAGTATTAGAAAACAGCATGAAATTATTTATATGAATTCATAACTTATGCGTGACGTGAGCCCTAATACTGGTCTCAACGAAGCCGAAAACATTTGTATGTCACATTTGTGTTCTTACATTTTGTCTTTTAAAAAAGTATTCGTAAGACTAAAACGGCTCTATCATTCTGAGATAGAATAACGAAGATCAATTCATTGACAATGTTAATATTTGAGGCGCATCGATAGCACCTGTAATTTGAGTCCTCGACAATAATGATCAATAATACTTGCTGCGACTCTTGACGATTTCACAGAAATCTCATCACTGCATATAAACTGAATTGTACATTCTGAAACTATCGAAGGTAATAATAGACTTAGTTCCGAAATACCACACACTCGAACAGACTTGGCCTCGTAGCTCAGTATGGACTAGTATCCCAAAGGTCGAGGGTTCGATTCCCACCGTGGTCAGGCTAACTTTCCAGCCTTCCCGGTGTGGATACACACTCAGATTAACATAAAAAACATTAAAGACAAACATTCATCAATTTCATTGGTAACTTTTCTTTTCTTTCGCCCTATATAGCATCAATGGAAGTGATATACAAGTTACACATTATCGCTTTCGTCCTGTCAGCAGTTCCGGGGATTGTGATTGGGCAACATTTCACAGCAGCCCGTGAAGCTGTTGAAGCCGCTTTGCCCAACATAAACTACAGCACGTTTTGCAGCGAAACAGCGACGGGACAAGATAAGCTTGCTTGTCGAATTAAATCTGTACCAACAGTTGGTTTTTTAGTTTGCAAAACGCCAAAGATAAGTGAGTTAGATTGTAAAGAAATTATTGATGGAGAATTGGAGAATATCAAGAAAGTTCAAGATGGTGGCGTTAAAACCGTTAAGGTATCACCACCACCCATTTCTAGCGCTACTTGTGGAAATGTCTCAGTCGATACATGCACTGGGTTTTTGGAGGAATGGATACCGAAAGAAGTAGGGCAATTCCAACATATTCGCAATCGTATTGTTGAGAATGAAATAGGCAAAGTGATAACTGAAGTAGAAAGCTACGCGACAGGTTCGCTAACGGTTACTGCCACAGATCTTACTGCTATTAAAAAGTTCATGGAAATTAGCCCGGCACAAGACAATTACAAACAAATTTGTGACTTGCAAGGATTTTTCTTAAAGAACGGTGGTTTTCGCGTTAATGATGTTCCGAATATCCAAGACGATTTGAGAAAGAACGAGTCGTGTCCCGCTGATCCTGGTGAACAGGAGCCCACCACCGCTGCTGTTCTTGACGCTTTGGATACAATGATTGATGCTTTTAACAAAAATTATGGGACACCTTCTAAAGTCTGTTTGCCATGGGGTTTTTTATCAGCTTGGAGTATTATCTGCAGTTGTACTATAGGTAATCTTTTATAAGTAACTGTCTCGATTCAAAATGCTAAAGGATGATATCACTTTAATCTAATGCTTTGCTAAATAACGTTCATATTACTACATATGTATTTCCTTTTTTCTGCCTCGTATATTCATCAGTTTTCAATCCCCAAGAGAGTAACAAAAGAAACTCTATTTGTGTTAAGATCTTCCAAAATTCTATACTTTGTGTAATATTCCCTTCGTGTTATATTCAAATAAATGGTTATAAAACTTGTTTTGTTGAACCTTTAATGAGGGTCTGAATGGGGTTAACTGACTACTGACATTTGCCTGAATTTTTGACTGACAACTGACAAAATGCCCTAACTGACAACTGAGAAATAATGAAAAAACCATGAGTCAGCTTTTTTGCATTCAAATAAATGGTTATAAAACTTGTTTTGTTGAACCTTTAATGAGGGTCTGAATGGGGTTAACTGACTACTGACAACTGACAACTGACAAAAATGCCCTAACTGACTGGCTTAAATTTTAGCTGACAACTGACACCCTGCAGTATAAATATTTAAACAAATCTTGACGTTTCAAGCTTTAGTGTGAACTGTATAAAAGCTAAGTTGTTACGCACAAGTTGTTATAGGTCTGCAAACAAGTTGTTACAAATCTGTTCACAAGCTGTCGACAAGTTGTGTTCGCATTGCTTGTTCCCAGTTGTTGTACAAGTGTGGAACAAGCTGTTAACAACTTGTAACAAGCTTGATGTTTGTGATGTTACTCTGAGTGTGCATCCACACCGGGCAAGCTGAAATGTTAGCTTGGCCATGGTGGGAATCGAACCCGCGACCTTTGGGATACTAGTCCAATGCTCTGCCAACTGAGCTGCGTGGTCAAGTCGGTTCGCGTTGATGATATTTCGGAACTGCATGAGTCTAGTTCCTTCGATATCAGTGTAATCAATGATATGATTATTTTGTGTGTGTTGGTGTTATGTACTCAAGTTTTTGTGATCACAAACATCATATTCACCTAACACGCGCAAAATAATTGTAACAAGCTTGATGGCATTATCAGACCTGTTACAAGGTTGTTCTAACAAGTCTGATACAGTCGTGATATAACAAAAATGTTACAAGGTTGACGACACAAGGTTGTAACAGTATTGTTATATCATGACTGTATTGGCTTGTTGGAACAATCTTGCAATAAGCCCCAAATGCGCTCTCTAATCTTTCGCGCTATGCTCTCGCCGAAAACCGTCATATTTTATAGTCATAGAAATAAAAGCATGCGGCAAACTACTGTAACAGCTAGAGCTGGCCAGAGCTTCGAAATCTAAAATCTCGATATGTTCTGTTACTGTTTTAATCTTTTACTACAAACAGCTGGACGAAATGAGAGAAAATGCACTGCCTTTGTACTCTATACAAAATTAATTCATATTTTTCCATCTGCCGGACATTTTTATCTGCTAGCTATCAAATATTATTAAGTTGCCACGAAAGCAACGGCTTTTTTCGCCTCTCTGATTACACCTGACCATACTTGGAAAGTAAATCCTGAGTAATAGCCTAGTTGTAAATATTATAAAGGCTCTTTTAACTATGTCGGTTCCTGACACGCTTGTTCATCGTTTTAAATAACTATATTCTTCCGTTTTGTACAGTTTATGAATTGATAAGGCGATCAGGCGGTCACCGAAGCGTATCTTTGCATTCGCGTTTATAGTGGCCTTGGCTCGGATAACTTTAATACACACGTGTAAAATTTGCAAGAAAGGTCACGGCCGTGAAGTAATCGGTTAAAATGGTAAGTACCACCACGTACTAGCTTAAATTTTCGCCTAACTTGCGCTAAAACCGGTGAGTTTCACCGTCCCTATCGTAGTAGCAGATACTGGTCTACCGACAGTTCTCAGAGTGGGAAAATAATTAAGTTCTGTAGTTGTGAATTAATGTAGTTTTATTTCCTTGCCCTTGGCATTGGTTATTTAAATGTCAGCAGTTTTCGAAATTGATCCTATGAGCATAACGCTCTCTGAAATCCCGCCAATAACAAACCAATTTGATGGTAGATTACTAGACTATTTGTTATCGAGTCATTGTCTTGAAGCACTTTTGTTTAGGTCGAGAATAAACGGCGGACAAAATGGACTTCTTAGTGTCAACAATTCTAAAGTTGACCAATACAATACCCCTAACGCTTTGCACTGATGAAATCCCCAATCAATATTTGATGGGAGACTTGCCGTAGTATTTGCTATCGTGAAAGCGCTTTGTTTTGGTTATATAGGGCGAGCAAGCACCGACACAAAATGGCCAAAATTCTCGACTACCTGAATCGCACGACGATCGAGCGTTCGACACAATGCTACGACTGCTTATTATGATGGAAGGAGAATTACAAACGAAAGAAGCGATTATTGAAATTTTGATGGTAAGTTGACGATATAAATTGTGGTTTGTTGCCTATCGAGTATTGGTTTGAATGTGGTTTGTAATTTATGAGAACTTGTCTAGTATAAGGGGCATTGCCATTGGGCCAATGCCAATAGGGGGTTTATATAAACATTCAAAGCGAAAGTAATTTAATACTACAACGCCGGATTATTTTATTTTTAGAGTTAAATTCCCACAAAGGAAGTATTAGTAGATATTCCTGCGAACAATCGCTAACTACTAACAACCTATTAATAAAAAGCTCCATTATTGCTAACATAACCAAAACTCGGTGACTCGATAATCGTTGTGTTACTAACTGTCAGCCGAGTTCAAAGACTTTTCTGGTAGTGTCTGACCAAATTTGGACTTCGGCAAATAAAAGATAATTCTTGTATTATTAATTCGTCTGAATATTATTAAAATACGAATCACTGTCAAGACGAATTATCGGTATAGCTCTTCTACATGACACTATAGCGATTTATATTAGATCGATCGGAAATCTTTGCCTGCATAGTTTAATTTTTGGTGTCAGGCGAGTTTTACAGGGTGTTCACACTTGAACCGATATGGGCCCAATATAACAAAAAACTTCGAGATCGATTTAAACGAGGTCATCTCGAAAGGTGGTTTCGGATCGACAATAGTCCTATTAACTCCTAATAATGTGGCTGATATGTGCATGGATGTCTCCGAAGAGGGTTAAAAACACCAAATTGTGCACAGTAGCATCGTTTTATGAATAGAACAACATGTAAAAGTGGGGCCATCGTGAAACTGTTTTTTTTAGAGAGTTACGATGCTATTAGCATTATTTGCTATTAAATTCTACTACAACAAAAAATGTGAAATTTTGAATTGAATCGCGACAAATATAACTTGCTTCATCAGAAAGCTTGTAAAAAACTACATAAAAGACTTTTAAACAGTTTTTTCATTCTTCAAATGGTTATTGCTGTAAATTAGGCACAATTATCTCGTTAAACGTCCCTAATTAATTATTCGATGTTTGAAAATGCGTTTTTAACAGTTTATAATTCGAAAAGTATTTCTGAAATCAAAAAACTGTCTAAACGTCTGACATGCAGTTTTTTATAAGCTTTCTGATGATGCAAGTCATATCTGTTGTAATTGAATACAAAATTTCACATTTTTTGGCTATAATAGAATTCATTAGAAGAAAATCACTAATCACCCGTTTTCAGGAGTTAGCAGCAAAATAGCGATGGCCCCACTTCAAATATCTATTAAACTACATCAATTGTAAAAGTTTGATGCTTTTAACCTCAACGGGAACTACTGATCAATAATTTTACTCATATCCGCCATTCAAATTTTTGGGCACTCAAGAACCGAAGTCCAATGAACCGCTCTCGGATCGGTTTGCAGTGTGAAAAAGGTCCTTAGATCGGTCTCAAACTGTGTTATTCGTGTGAACGAGTTCCTATATGTCTATGTGGGGTTTTTTCGAGTTTGCCTTAACGATATAGTCGTCGGTATGCCGATAACGGCATGATTTGTTTACCATCGTTGTATTTTGTCAAATTCGATGTTCGAGAAGCGCGAATTCGGTATCGTGTAACCTCTTTGAATCGATAACAAAAGGTTTTGGACTCGATATGCTTTTGTGTGCTTGCATGATATTCTGTAATCACTATTTTAGGACATTTATTAGTTTAAAATTTAAGTGGCATTCTATGGGTTGCTAGTATCTGTGACACAGTCTAGTATCATAGCTATGTCATCCTTAATTCTTGTGAGTCTTGAGAGGTACTTCTTTGAGAAACACTTTCCGACGAGGGTCTAAGAAGCACTCTTGTCAATAAGTCCGGATATGTTGCTTAGCAATTCAAATTTGCCTCCATATGCTACCATATTGTAATATTGGGTTATTTTATCGACTTGGTTTATGTAATGTCTTTAATGGGGAGTAATTAAACGACGACAATTATGATGACTGCGAAGCAACAACTGCTACGACCGATGATAACCATGTCGACGAAAACGACAACAACCTCAATTAATACAACATCGTTATTGACGACAACAACAACAGAAACAGCAACAACATCAACAGGAATTAACAGCGGCAACAACAACAACAGCAAAAACAACAGCAGCAACAACAACAGCAACAACAACAACTCGACGAAAACGACAACAACCTCAATTAATACAACATCGTTATTGACGACAACAACAACAGAAACAGCAACAACATCAACAGGAATTAACAGCGGCAACAACAACAACAGCAAAAACAACAGCCAGCAACAACATCAACAGGAATTAACAGCGGCAACAACAACAACAGCAAAAACAACAGCAGCAACAACAACAGCAACAACAACAACAGCAAAAACAACAGCAGCAACAACAACAGCAACAACAACAACAACAACAACAACAACAACAACACAACAACAACAACAACAACAACAACAACAACAACGACAACAACAACAACGACAACGACGACAACGACAACGACAACGACAACAACAACAACATCATATGCCTATCTATCATAATGTGAGCATAGAATGGAACAGATAGCAACGGACATAAGAATGTTAGCTGATTATGCCGTCTATTCATGGAGTACTGCACTGGTGTGAGAAGTTGTTAGCGCTGCCTCTTATAACTGGGGTCAGGGATTTACTTACGATGGGTTTCGTGTATTTCAGGAAGGTCGGAGCAAAGATGATGTGCTATTGAACAAGCTCAACAAAGTTCTGGGTGTACGAGAAACAGATCCATTCTCCGCCCTCAAGAGAGACGGTGTTTACAGTCATCAAAAGTGGACCGAACTGTTTATGAACGAAAACGAACGCGATCACGCAGTTCTCGCGGACAGCTCGCGTTACCTGTCCGCGTGCTCGTCCTTGCGTGCTATCAGCGTGGCGAGATTACAAAATCAACGTTATAGCGAGGCGTACGATATGCTTCAGAAAACTGTGAAAAATTATAGAAAGGTAGGGGAGCGGGTTTTGTTCTCTTGAATGCTTTAAGGAACGGATGGGTACATAATGGACCTTACAGGGTCTTTAGGGAGGACGGTGTAAAATAACAACTAATGTACTGAATATTTTGTCCTGCAATGATGAGTTGCTTTCGGTCCGTGTTTCTGACATTTGTTTGACGATTTGAAAGCTCTGAGCGGGCAAATTACTTTGTGCATGAATTGTCAGCCTCCTAACATAATCACCGAACTTATTTTCTTAAGTTTTGGGAAAAGCAGAGAAACAATTTTCACATATACACAGTCAGAGTAACATCACAAGCATCATATTCACCTGAGTATATTACACCAACACAGAAAAAATCATGATTATTAGATTACAATGATATCGAAGGAACTAGATTCTGTTCCGAAATATCACATACTCGACCGCGTAGCTCAGTTGGCAGAGCATTGGCATTGGGCTAGTATTCCAAAAGTCGTAGGTTCGATTCCCACCGTGGTCAGGCATATTTCTCAAGCTTTCCCGGTGTGGATATACACTCAGAGTAACATCACAAGCACCTTAGTCAAAATTATTATCATTATTTATTTCTTTAGAAATTGATTGTTTTCACAGTCAATGAACACGAGAATATTTGCATAGCGGAGACTAAATTGTCGGGCTCCCTTAGTGTTTTAAATAAATTTCAATGACATTTTCTTTAGCTTAAAATAAAATACACAAAAGAAAGAAGAAAACCGATCGAGGAAATAGCCCCACCAGTGGCCCCGCTCCCCAAGATTTCTCCCACAAATGACGTCATAGACTCTCCAGCCAATGAGGTTGGAGAAAACTCGCATTTAACCAATCATGATCAAGAAATTTCGAATTTGGCGCGCGAGCAAGAACGCTGTCGAGAACTGGAAGAGAAAGTTGAACAATTGACCAAAAACATGGCGGAAGAAGAAAGGCAAAGAATGAGCCTTGAGAAACAGATGAGGGATGAAATTCGCAGATTACATCGAGAACTGAAACTTGAGCGGGAAAATAGCAAGAGAGGTCATTGCAGACTGTTCATTACTGCAAGGCGTCCTGATCAGCCAGCGGATAAACCAAGGTAGTATATAGTACATCATGAAATATGACGTGAATAGTCTTGTAATTTAAACGGTCATGAAGACTGGGATCTAGTCAAATTCAATTCGGAGTTTCTGGGATAAATTGTCTTTGAACTATAACATGGATGTAGCTGAGCTTGAAATAATTAGAATATGCATATGAAAGTATTCAAAAACAAAATAAAACCACATTACGGTTGCCAAAGCCACGTTCGAACAGTTTGAAAAAGAGTTTCATGTATAACGAAGCTTTCATATGGAACTCTTTGCCAGAAATTATTAGAGAAAGCAAAACGCTCTCAATTTTCGAAAGGAAAATCGCTACCCATCGCTATTAAAGCATGGTTGTAAATAGTAAATTAACGTATATTACAGTTTATTATATAGTAGAGAGTGAGATACTAAAAAATACACAGTGAGATATTTTCCATTTCTTCACTAGTGAAGATATCGATCACGTGATTTTTTCAATTTGCTTTTGAGCGTGAAATTTAACAATTTTGGGACTATATGTAATAAACAGAACATTATACACGGTGGATTCAAGATGTGACTTTTATCTTCTCGTGTTAAAAACAATATTTTACTCACTCTAATTGTTTTCACCACTCGAAGATAAAATTCATCATCAGCAAAAAGTTGCTCAATGAACAATAAGTTTCCGCACTGCAGTTCACAGTTGATTCGCTTTAAATTAGAAAATATATTCCTTATTAAATATAAGTGTATCTTTCTTCAGTTTTGCTTTACACAAAAGACAAAATGTGCTAGTACAAAAATTGTTCAATGGACAATTCTATTGTGGCTATAAGTTTTAAAAACACAGTTTATTGATGTTGGAGTCGCTAAAATGTGCTTGCCCCAGGAGTGCATTTTTGGTTGCTTCAGATGTGAGCAAAAATCGTCGTTTCCTCAGTATCGAGTGAGGCATACGTTTTGTTATTAGATTTCTTGTTGGACATCCCAATAAGACGATTTAAATGGATAATTGGATTGTGGGGCAACTCTTATATAAATAGTATCAGCTGATTGAATATATAATTTTCAGAAGATTCCTGATCTAGTGACCACCTAGCAAAATTGTTTTTCAAAAACGGCGCTCATTAATTAATATTAAAAATGAAGGATTCAGTCTGTACGATATTCATTTCCTATTTCTCTTAACTCGCACTAATTAGCTAATTACTAAACGAAAAAGTCTTAATTCATTAAATTTTTAAACAAATTAGATTTGCACACTAATCAGTGATTAAATTATTTTAGTCTGCTAACAATGACCTCATACTGGTGTACATAATTGGATTTTTAATTAAATACCAATCTCACTAATTACATATATATTACGTCACATAGCAACCTTAATTAGATCTCCCGATATTAAATTAGAACAAATTAACATGATACAATTATTTCAAACTATTTGAACATCTGATATTGACATAATTTCAAGTGAAATGACATCTAAAACTTTACAAACACATGAATCACACTTTAGTTTTGGGTTTTTTCAAGTTTATTATTTTTTTACATTCCCCGAGTGTTTTTTTTTTTGGTAAGTTTTTACTTTCCTTTGGAATTTTGAGCAAAGGAGTTGTACGTGCTTCTCACGTTCTTGCCCGTTTCGGTGTTTCTGTTTTCCCAAAAATATTTCATCATTCGATCAACAAATTCAGAGAAGCCAGATTTGTCACCAGAGTTTCCGCCAGCAGCCCCTCCGCGAGGCATTTTGATTGCAAATATTCGTACGTAATTTCTCTATGAAAGCAAAATTTGAAGAGACATCAGAACAGGCAAGTTATCGTTGTATTATAATAATTCGTTGTTCTTGGTTCGTGCATGTATGTGCTTTTCACCTTTTCGTGAACAGAGACAAATTCCTGACGGTTGTCTTATTCAGGGGTCATCCTAGGGTCTCCCATTTTCCCATTTTCCAAAATGGCTATTTCTAAATGCAAAATGGCTAGTTCTAAATGTAAAATGGCTAGTTCTAAATGTAAAATGGCTAGTAGTTCTAAATGGTAAATGGCTAGTTCTAAATGTAAAATGGCTAGTTCTTAATGTAAAATGGCTAGTTCTAAATGTAAAATGGCTAGTTCTAAATGTAAAATGGGCAGTTCTAAATGTAAAATGACTAGTTCTAAATGTAAAATGGCTAGTTCTAAATGTAAAATGGGCAGTTCTAAATGCAAATTGGTTAGTTCTAAAACTTAAAATGGGCACTTCTAAAAATTGAGTTTTCGAGCCTTACATGAAAATTAGTTACAAATTAAGCACCAAATGTGACTCTGGTATACGCCATGACCTTAATTTAAGCCTGATCTGAGGTTATACCATGACCTCGTCCCTCGTTACTGTTACACAGCCTGTGTTCACTACCTCCCAATCTGTCCTTGTTGAAATGAACAGTTCTAAATTTTTCTTAGGATGACCCCTGGTCTTATTATCGCGTTTGACCGCCAACTCTCATCACGACTCTCAAGTATCTCAACTCTCATTCTGCGACTCTTGTTCTCGTTAATTTGACTGGGCCATAAAAGCTGAGAAAACTCTCATGCAATTCTCGCTTCTCGAATATCAACTTTCATCAATTCTCATTCTAGTTTATAATATACAGTCAACTCTCGTCAACTTTCATGCAACACTTGTTCTCGTTTGACCGGGCACGAGAGTTGAGAAAACTGTCATTCAAACTCTCTCTTCTCAACTCTCATCTCTCATCAACTCTCATTCTAGTTTATAATATCCAGTCAACTCTCATCAACTTTCATGCAACTCTTGTTCTCGTTTGACCAGGACATGCGAGTTGAGAAAACTCTCGTGCAAACTCTCGCTTCTCAACTCTCATCAACTCTCATGCAACTCTTGTTCTCGTTTGACTGGGGCACGCGAGCTGAGAAAACTCTCGTGCAAACTCTCGCTTCTCAACTTTCATAAACTCTCATTCTCGTCTGACCAGAGCTTAATTAGTAAGTGGGGGTGTGCTAATCAACCTAATTACTTGCAGCTGAGAGCCGTTGCAAAACTGCTTGACACGCTATGAGACTGCGGATATGAATCTCAAAATTAACTAGAAAGTTTTAGTGTATTTAAATACTGAAGTTTAATTTGGGTTATATCAATCAACTGACAATTTTTGAAAGCTTGAAAAAATCACTCCACGTGGATATTGCTAGCGGGCCTTCGTACAACCGCTCTGGGGCTTTTACACACGTAAAAATCTCAGAACTTGTCAACAAGATGTGTTCGCAACAGGCTTGTAGCAAGCTTGTCAACAAGTTGTAACAATTTTGTTATTTCATCAAGTTGCCACGAGGTTGTCACTCACAACTTGTTGACAAATTGCCGAATTGCAGGACGATAACAAATTGTTGGAACAAACTTGTAACAAGTCTGTTGAGCTCAACAACCTTGTAGCAAGTTGTCAACAAGCCGTTGCCAACTTGGCAGCATGCTGGGAACAAGCAGTGCGAACACATCCTGTTGACAAGTTGCTGGAACAACATTGCTACAAATATGCTGCAGTTTTGTTACAATTTGTGCGTTTTTATGTGTGTAAGGGATCTCGAGTGTCGCTATATTCGGGGTCGTTAGTTTCAGAATTCTAGGGCGGTCTACAATCATTTGGCATTGGGCGCCTTCCCCTCCCTCTAGTTTGGCGACATCATTTGTTTTCATACCAGAGAATTAAAAATGAAAGATTTTCAATCGTCCAATGATGGTTAAATATGTGGGTCAGAACAACACATATAATTGCTTTGATCCTGCAGAGCCGATGTTTAGACTAATAATTAAATCCAGCTAAAAGTAAATCCATCTGCCTTCAGACTAACTTCGTAAATAATTTAACACCGGACTGTTTGAATTTTTTTCAAAAGTATAAAACACCGAAATGAAAATCTATTCCCGATTTGCAAAAACAAAACAAAGTGTTAAACACTCTTGTAATTCGATGTAAAATATATTGTATTTTAGGCTTATATAATGATGAGATTGAGCACTTATAATAAATTTACTTGGTTTTAGTTTTAACAATTGTGTTATATAATTTTTCGTAGCACAATTCATTTACATTAGTTTGGAGATACATGTAAAAGTTATTCTCAACTTTTCATCTGAAACAAATACCACTGGCATTGTTTTTCAGATTTGGGGTTTTAGGCCGTGTTTAAAATATGCATGAGATATTATTTTTATTGTCTACTCAATTTTTGAACATTAGTGCTTGTTGTATTCTAGATATAGAATGCCATTTTTTTTCATATTTGATAACAAGCTATACAGCCTGTTATCAAAAACTTACACCATTGTTTTATATTTTGGGGTTTTGATGTTTTGTTTAATTAAAATGTATCAGTTTATTTTTACAATAATCCAAAGGGTCTCCAAATATATTTCTGGTTTCTTCAAGACATAGATTATTAAAATTAATATGAATGTTCGACTAAAATTTCTATTTGTTTCAAATGGCATGGGTCGAAAGTTTTTTTAAAGTTGTTCGACCACTTTAATTGATACATTTGAAAGTGTATCTTTGCCAAAAAAATTGGAGAGCTACTGGTCTGAGTTTCAAAAATTGGGTCATCGACCAAAATGTTTTCATTATTGAATGATCCACTTAGAAATGATCTTATCTTTGCAACCACACACACGGAGATGGTTTTAGAACTGAAAGATGATTAAAGATCACGGACGAGTTTGATTTAATTTACAGCCATATATGTATACATGTTTGACATAAAAAAATGTACCTATTTGTTCAACTGTAAAAAAGTAAAAAAAAACCGCATCGGCCTCACGTCCTTTTTTATTTTACCCATGCAAAAATATTTATAAGAAGAGGCTTGCAGGTTTATTAAATTTGTATCCAACGATTTTTGGGTTGTAATATATGTTATAATAATGGTCTTCCTTCCACTTTTTTAAAGTTTTTTTAAAATTATTTGACATAATTTACTCCGTTCAAAACCCGTCAAAGACAAAGTATTTTCATAACGAAACCTTAAGTAAAAAAAAAACACATCGACATTGTTTTATAATTGTATCATTTATATGACTGTTGGAAAATCAATAAACAGAATTGTTCAATCGGTTAAAAAATCATTGAATATACTTTCGAACTGAACTATCATAGTAGTGTGACTATTTGAACGGCTCGAAGTGAGTTGAGGAGATTGCAATGAGTGTCGTTGAGTAATTGGCGGTCAAACGGCGCGAGCGAGAGTTTCAACTCTATCGCTCTCGTTTGACTTGGCGCTTTAATCATAGGGTTAATTTAGATCTGAGCAGTTTCGGAAACGTTTTCATACCGGAAACGTTTTTCGTTGCGTTAAATCTTCGAGGTTTTGTTCAAGGTTTGCACAAAAATAATAATTTGCGGCAAATTTTGGACGAAACTCATGCAAAATTAAAATCAGTTACAAAGTTAACAAAACATTTCAATTCTTAAAACACATTTAACATACAACTATATAATTCACAGAGAAATTCTTACCTTGCTTTATGTTTGTCAAACAAATTCTCTTGCCTTTCTGAGACAGCTCAGTCAAGCGACGTGTTGACACGACCGGCCTCTACATGCGTGGCTGACAGGCTATGTTGTTCTACTGAGTATATCTGATTTGTGGCGGCATCTTATTCGCTTCAGCAAGACCGCAGTGCTACTTAAATTGCGTATAATTAGGAGGGACGTAATCAAAATTTGATTGAGTAAGCCTTGCTGTAAATTTCAATTAGTTTGACATTCGATATGTGTTGTTATTTTAAGGCATATCTTTCCCCAAAATTATACTTTTAGAATGCAGATTTTTTTTTTTTTTGGGGAAAGCAAATATATACATCGTTATCTCATGCATTGTGTGTCGTTTGAGGTTGCAATTGAATGGCGAGGGGGAGAGATTAATTCTCAGGTCTGGGCCCCCACCCTAAGTAAATATTACTGCAATGAGCTCTATATGTAACTGGACTAAGAACTGCGCAACTGGTTGAGACTATCCCCCTCCCCCATACAAGATTCGCATATTTTTATGATAAATTCTATGTTGAATCATGTTGCCCTTCTTAAGACCCCGCTCCCCCAACTCAATGTTGAGCTTGGTCATGGTATATTACCAAAAGTTGTTTCGGCGTTGCTCGCAACATTAGGGAGCTTAAGCATGTAGGATGGCAACACCACTACGACGGCCAAAACAAATTCCTTCAAATAAATGATAGTAAAGAAAACTTGTCGTATATTATATATAATTTGTATGAATTTAATACAGTATAAGAAGTTGAAAACATTGGCTTTATGTTTGGGAAGAGTTCTACAGAACCGAATTTTAAGTTGCACTTGTTACGTGAAAATCTGTGATTTGCCGTTGTAAACAGAGCGACGACCACGTCTGAAACTCCCCCGGGGCTTTAATTATTTATTTCTTTTCATTGACTCATTGTATTGGTTGCCATCGTCGTTGTGTTGCCGTCCTCACATGCTTAAGCTCCCTATTGAACTGGGGGAGGGGGTGACAAAATTTGCTTTGTCAATGTGCATTAACCATAGATATCTTATATACACTAGATAGTGCATCTAATTATTCTGCAATTCAAAAATCGAAGCCGTGACTGCAGTCTCAGGTCGTTACCATGAAATGAGAAGATTCGTATGTTTTCTATTTCTTAAACAGGGAGTTAAACATTAAGTTAACCCTATTCCAAATACGTTTATAAACTATTCAAATGATGAAAGTTATTGCTGTTTTTAAGCGTTTATTAGCAAGTGGGAACGACCAACATGGCCGCCATCTATTCAAATGGGGGTAACCGCTGGAATATTCTTGGCTTCAATTTTACTAAAAGAGATGCGCTATCTAGTCTATATAAGATATCTATGGCATTAACTTTGCAATATTTGCCGAGAACTACTATCATTCGGTCCCTGAGACAAGTGAAACCAAGATAGGGAAATTGACGCCAAAAATCTACGATGTTTGTAAACATTTTTCATGCCATTTTTCCCACAGCTAAATATACCCAGTATTTGTCTTCCCACGGACCGTATCGCTAATCAAGTTATCAGTTTATAAAACCATACTGTATTATTCTCTAAATCGAAGTCAAAACACGAAATTTTCGTACAAATGGTGACCGCGCAGACAAAACCAATGGAACGAGGCTTGGCACTGCATGGACGTCAATGGACCATTCCCCAATCTCGTTCCCCGAGCCTGCGGTCCTCAATTTTCAGTCATTTTAGATTACAAACGGGAAATGGTTACCACTTCTGTGCGTAATACAAAATGACAGAAAATTACAAACTTCGCAAGGCTATATTATCCGCATTTTACAACATTTTGCAATGAAACTTTGGAATATTACTAATTTTGTGATGCTCTTTCGAGCTGTGATGAAATTTTTGTTTAGGCTAGCTAAGATCAAAATTTTGGAAAAGTGGTAACCATTTCCCGTTTGTAATCTAAAATGACTGAAAATTGCAAATTTCGCAAGGCTATATTATCCGCATTTTACAACATTTCGCAACGAAACTTTGGAATATTACTAATTTTGTGATGCTCTTTCATGCTATGATGGAATTTTGTCTAGACTTGTTGAGATCAAAATTTTGGTTAATTGGGGAATGGTACATTTCTACAAATATAAATAGATTCCTGCATGGTTACATTAACGAGAATATGCGGTAGGAAATAAGATAAAATAACCAGAAACTAATTCAGCCAGGAATATTAAGTTAAACCAAATAGTTTTATTTCTAGCTTTAATCTATTAGATAAATATATACATCGATGCATGTAATTATTTTAGTTGTATACATAAATGTTTTACTCTGGCTGTTCAGCAGGGGCCTGCAGGGTGCGATAATTCGCGTACTTACGTATTTTTTTGAAAAAAGATTTCTCAGGAAAAAATATTTCCAAGTTTATAAACAAACTTCCGGGAAGTTTGCTTTAAATTGAACAACTGGTCCCAAGTGCAAATGTTACCATACCAAAACAGTGGGTTAACTTTTAACCCAGGGTAAGCGCTAATCCAGCTTCGGTTATATATATATATATATATATATATATATATATATATATATATATATATATATATATATATATATATATATATATATATATATATATATATATATATATATATATATATATATATAGTCATGAAAATCTATGATATATATAGTCATGAAAATCTATGAGGTTGTCAACACATTTCGATGCGTCATCAACTCTTTAAGTTTGTCTACTTTGGTCCGTCTAACATGAAGTTCAGCCCGCTCCTTCACGTATTTTTCTAAGAAATCCTCCACTGTTACTTCGCCGTCCAAAAAACCATCGGCAGTTTTCTGAAAATAAAATTCGATACCATTAGAGATGAAATTTCATTAGGTGCTCTTGGCATGATTTATATTCATCGCCCATTAGGACAAACTGCACTTGACGTTTTTTCTGCGTTTTAAAACACCAATTTCTGTGTCTGGTATTGGAAACAAAGATTCTTTTTTAGATTATGTTGACCCGTTAGTTAAATATTATGTCAATCTGTATTGTATGTTGGTATTTTAATCTTGATGCTATGTCGCATATTAATAATAGTATATACTGTAAAATTAATATGATTTTATCGCTTTTTGTGTTGTGTTGTGTTGTGTTGTGTTGTGCTGTGTTGTGTTGTGTTTTGTTTTGTTTCTGTTTTGTTTTGCTGTGTTTTGTTGTGCTGTTTTGTTGTGCTGTGTTGTGTTTTGTTGTGCTGTGTTTTGTTTTGCTGTGTTTTGTTGTGCTGTGTTTTGTTGTGCTGTGTTTTGTTTTGTTGTGCCGTGTTTTGTTTTGTTTTGCTGTGTTTTGTTGTGCCGTGTTTTGTTTTGTTGTGCTATCCTTAGAAGGGCTTGTGCGAGTTGGCTTGTCAGAAATTGCATTTGACAGGTCACGTAGAAAATGGAACTGAGTAGTCTCCATGACCAGTGTATCATTAAATGTTATTTTGAACCCTGCATTTAGGTTGCACAAAAGCTAGGACTGATCAGGCCTATAATTATTACTACAAGGTTTTTGCATTGACCTAAAAAGAAATGGACTATAGCCTAGGTTACTGTACCTCTGAGTTTTCCTCCAGTTGGGCAACAGAGGTTTGCAGTAAAGCCATTATAGTATCTGGGTTGTATTGATCTGATAGATAATCTGTTAGAAATACAATCACATTTCATTATTTAGGGAGGAAAAATCAATTTGAAAATTTTCTTCATTACAATGTGAAGGAAATTTCATGGAAATTTTAGTTGAATTTGTTGAACTTGCGGAATGAATGAAACAAACCAGTGCACAGCAATACACGCTTTCGGAAAGTGCGTCACCATGGCTATAGAGCGTTTTTGTGATAGATACATTGGGCTTTAACCAATGTCACATACGGTACATGAAAACGAGGCTCTGTAGCCAAAGTGACATACTTTCTGGAAAGGCGTTGTTTTTCTGTATTTTACCATTTCAATGCAATGTTACAGTCTGTCAGAATGTACCCTAACTTAACAGGGCCTTAAAAATGTACCACTGTTTGAACCCACCTAAATTTTGTTTGTTTTCATCGAACTTTACAGTCTGTTCGTTAAGCTGTTCATATAAATTTGTTAATCTTGATTTGCATTCGGCCAGTTTACTCCCCTGACTCATGTTGTACTCTGCTAGACTACGGTTTCCTGCCAATTGCATTTCACGTTCGGCTTGGACTTGCTTTACCTGTGAATATTTTCACGAAAAATAAGTAGAACGATAGCAGAGAAGACATGGTTATGTCCATATAGGTAACCTGCAGTATTAACCCACCGAGTCCCTGTGCCCTCCCCTTGACGAGTAAAATTATCTGGCATTAGACAGAATAAAATAATAAAGTATGGTGCATTAGGAAAATAATAAAGTATGGTGCATTAGGCCACAATAATGGTATTTCCATTCTTTCTTTAAGTCTGGTTCTCATTAATCAGCAATGTTCTACGATACATTGTCTGTGAGCAACAAAGAAGAAAATGAACAAAATATCTTATGCATCAATGACCACCGACAATGGGCATCACCGATGTTTACGATAAATGAGAATCAGGCTTTAGTAACATGGGTCCAATATGAGCGCTTACTCATAATGTCAGTTGTATATTATAAAAGGATGATAATAACATACTCTATGCTCACACCAAACTTCAATGCTTATGTTTACACGTTAAGATTTGTCAGGCCAATTTTAGTAATGTTAACCCATTAAGCGCCAGTGCTCTTCCCTTTGACAAGTAAAATTGTTTGGTGTTAGACAGAGTAACATAATGGGTGCATCATGGCACAATGCGACTAAATGGGTTAACTAGACAAATGGGCAGATAGGCCAGTTAACCCATTAAGCGCCAGCGCTCTCCCCTTGAGGAGTAAAAATTGTTGGGTGCAGACAGAGTAAACTAATAAAGTAGGGCACATCTGGGCACAATGCGACTCAATGGGCTAATGACAATTTTTTCTGTAGGTGAAGTCGTCAAATGATGTTTGCCATACATTGTTGTGCATCCGAGATTGCCCAGTGTATATTAAGGCTAACAATACGACTAGCCATATACGATTCTCATCCTGGCATATGTACTCTAATTAAAACATGTAAAGATGTCACATTTCAAATTTTGCCATAAACTGATGAACATGAATAGTGATGTCAGCAGCATTTTCATATGCCAGAACACAGATGATAGATTATACCAGATGAATCACTGTGTATCCATCCCCATGATTTTCGTGTCCGCGATTTTCGCGAGTCTATCACGCCAGATGACGTGTGCGACACTTGCTGCCAAAATGGCGCTTACTGCCAAAATGCGTGATTGCTATTGGATTGCTCATGTTTCATGGCGTGGATTACACTTACTGCCAAAATGGCAGCCAACGCGTGCTCATAAAAAATCGCGGACACAATTTTGGCTGAGTGATTCATCTGGTATTATCTATCATCTGTGGCCAGAATGACAATCGTATAAGTTAGTCACATCGTGTAAATGGGCATTAAACTAACGATGCAATAATGGTATGTTAGGGATTTAAGATGGATTTGTATACTTTTTATACTGCAACATTAATCAAACCATACAGCATTATAACTTTAAAATGACGTCATATTATAAAACAAGTAAACAACCCAACTGACAATTAGGCAAAATATACCTCGCTATTTTCGTTCAAAAGTTGATGTACTTTCTCTTCTTTGTCATGTAATTCCTGTAGTTCGCTCTGATCCGCCTGATCTAGCTGACTACTTAGTTTCGACATCACAGTATCAGTCTGAGAACGGCCACCGAAATTAATATTGGCGTTCATGTTATAAGGTGGTCGATTTGCTGGCATTCCTGGGCCGGTTTGAGGCGTATATTGTGAGCCTGCCTGTGGCATTGGCATACGTATACTTCCATAGTTATAACCCTGATGCATTGGTGTATAGTTTCTTCTTCTTTTATAAGACACAATCTTTCGACTTGTTTCGCAAACAAAGGCGAGAAAGTTCAAGAAAAGTAGAAAACGTTCTTTTTCGATTTTTCGTTTGTTTATATTTCCTGTAGTGACCAGTCCTCTGACATAGTCCTCTAACGTTATTGCGTAATCGTAATCGTAATCTATGGTAATGTTAAAAACAGGTGGGAAATTTGTCTGAGCATGCGCGAGTAAAATGAGCCACGCAGTTGCGTGGAATACACGCAACGCGTGTTTACAAAAAGGCACAATCGTGTAAATATGTTTGTACAAAATAAATGACTGTTTTATGTTGAAAGAGTAGACATGATCTAAATTAATCATACAGAATTTTTTAGTGACGTTCTATTTCAGTACCCTGCCTTAATGTGAAATCGAAATACGCCTTTAAGTTGTTGAAAATCTGTTCACAAGCTGTCGACATTATGACGACAAGTTGTTTTCGCCCTGCTTGTTTCTAGTTGTTGTAACAAGTTTGGAACAAACTGTTAACAACTTGTAACAAGCTTGATGGGCATTGTTGGACTTGTTAGTTGTTACTGTCAACTGTTCTAAATATGGGCAATAAAAGGAAAAAAAGAAAACAAAAAAAAAACACGTCTGATACAGTCATGATTTAACAAGAATGTTACAAGATTGATGACACAAGGTTGTAACAATACTGTTATATCATGACTGTATCGGACTTGTTGGAACAACCTTGCAACAAGTCTGATAATAACAACAAGGTTGTTACAAGTTGTTAACAGCTCGGTTCCAAAGTTGTTCGGACAATTTGGGACAAACAGTGCAAACACAATCTGTTGACGCCTTGTTGACAGACTTGGTGCTACACACGCAAATATCTCACATCTTGTAGCAAGTCTGCTAAAAAGTCGTCAACAAGTCGTTCTTCGCACTGCTTGTCCCAAGCTGTCAACAAGTATGGAACAAGCTGTTAACAATTTTTAACAACCTTATCAGACTTGTTGCAAGGTTGTTCCAACAAGTCCGATACAGTCATGATATAACAATATTGTTACAACCTTGCGTCATCAACCTTGGAACATTCTTGTTATATCATGAATGTATCAGACTTGTTAGAACAACTTCGCTACAAGTCTGATAATGCCATCAAGCTTGTTACAACAACTGGGAACAAGCAATGCGAACACAACTTAACAGCTTGTGAACAGATTTGTAACAACTTGTTTGCAGACCTGTAACAACTTGTGCGTTTTTACGAGTGTACAAGATGTGAGTTTTTGCGTGTGTACTCGTGCACAAAAGTTTAACAACTTTAATGACAGACAGTTGCGAGATGGTTGCAAATATGAAGTATTTTGAACACAAGTATTTTTTTAATTAAAAGACTTAGTAGACTATTTCCTGTTCGCCTAGTGAAGATTTTGCCTTCTCAGCTGGAGACTAATTTAAAATCTATCAAATCCTCACTATCTTTATTGAACAATCTAAAGAAATCTTTAATTGCAAGGTGATAACACTTTATAACAAATATTAATTGTAACTACTGAATGCTTATATACAACTAGGAGTCTTAATTAATTCAAAAACCCTTTTAGATACGGCCCTGATTCTGTCTGAGATTTGTGGGAGCGGAGCCCATAGATATGAGATATCCATGGCGGAGCCTTGGTCAAAACTGAACTGACGACATATTTAGTCACATTTACTTACACAGTTCAATAGACTATGGGTTAATCTTCCGACGTGCCTCAGTGTTAACCCATTTAATAAGTTGCATTTCGCCCCAATGTTCCCGTCTTTATTCTACCCTGTCTAACGCCAGACAATTTTACTCGCGTCAATGTGGAAAGACTTGTTACAAAGTTGTGAAGGGAGTTGCACAATGCACAGCAAGCACTGGCATACTGGCACTGCCAAGCAACAACTTGAGTTACTTGACAAAGAATCAGCATTGCTACTACTTGCTGCCAAGCTTGTTGCAAGTCTGTTGTGAACCCAACAGTCTGTTGCGAACACAACTGATGACAAGATGTATAAACATAACTAACATTTTTGTCCATTGTAGAAGAATATTTGAAATTTTCGTAAAGAGGAAAATATGCGAGAAATTTAGAAATGAAATTAAAAATGAAATGTACACGATCACGTGTGCACTTTTATTACAGACCGAGTACTTCGAGGAGTCTGAACCCTACATCTTATAAAAATAAACACTCTAGCTCAGCGACGTGCGAATCATTAAAGTCAAAAAGCTAAAGAAAGTATTAAACGTCCATTTTTTTGGTTTTTTTTTATATTTTGATAACAATGAGCATTGAGTAATAATCTTGGCAAAAATGGACGGAAATTAAAAGCAATGTAAAGCTGGGAAACATGAAAGATGCAAGCGGTCCCAAACGTTCCCTACCGAATTCTGATCTCGACGAGAATGACTCTAAACGCGGATCAGAACCCAAAGAGAAGGCTGACAAACAAAAACGAAAAAAGCTACGGAAAAGACGAAGTTCTAGCTCACCCGAAGAGGACATTATTGATGGATTTGTGATTGCATCTTATTCTAGCCTTCGAAATTTGGAAGTGAGTGTTTTACTGAGGGTTTTGTGAGCATTTGCATGTTGTTAAAATTGTTATGTAAACAGTGTCCGCATTTCGAACTTTTTGCAAACAATTTGTGGTGAAGTCTTAACACTTTCTCCCTCTAATCTGAGCGTTTGTTTAGTTTTAGTATAAAGGATTTAATACAAATATCCAACTGTCATTTTTATTGCAGACATTATTAGCAGCACGATTTCGCTGTGTGCTTTGTTAATGCGAAAGAAATTGATCCTAAGCACGATTCATAAGTGGCTTCTTGTTATAACCTCCTTGGAAAAAATGTATTACATGTAAATGCGTTCGGAACTTATTGTTCAAAACATCAAAATTGTAGCAATTTTGAGCAATTTGTAACAAAATTAATGCAGTGGTGAAGTTTGGTTTTTGATCATTCAAGTAAAGAAAAGAGCAAGAATTTTTGAAATGTCAACAATGCAATCTATAGGCAGAAAGAAAATTACACTATTTCATTCTATTGTAAACTTTATATTGGAGATGTTTATACCAGTGGTTTAAACTCATTCTTTTTCCCCCTGAAAATTGGAAAGTAAGGTTTGGTATCGATAGGTAATCAGATCATGTGAATCTTCTAAGCATGCACTAGGAGAGTAGCATTTGGAAATTGAAGGGTTTCACCTGTTACTTGTAACTCTTACTGAAAACAATATAACACATGGCTGTATTTGCCAAAGGCTGTTGCACGTTCGTAGCTGGGTGTAAGTAAGGTCCGACTTTGAAGTAATACCTGGTTGCCATGTATACTTGGCTATGTATAGCGTTGTTCCAGGGAAAAAACCCACACTCCCCCCAATGAGGAATTTCTGCTGTCTGGAGGGGGGGAGGGAAAATGTACTTTTGATAACAGTACAATGTACTAGGATGTCCGAGGGGGGGTAGGAGAGTTAATTTTCTCTGTGGGGGAGGTCCAGGCATTTTCTTGAATCACCCATTGAGATTTTAGCTATGATAGAAAGTTATTGTTCTGGTTTCATTGTTTGTGTGCCACAACTGACCAGTCTTGCCGAGATTCAGCAGGATATTGGCTAGGCAATATGATTAATTTGCTACATAGGGTAATTATTTGGTTAACCTACTAAGATACTATTAGAATGGCAATGGATCTATTACCTAATGAACAAAATTTTGATCTAGACAAGTCTAGACAAACATTTCATCACAGCTTGAAAGAGCCACGCAAAATTAGTAATATTCCAAAGTTTCGTTGCAAAATGTTGTAAAATGCGGAAAATATAGCCCTGCGAAGTTTGCCATTTTTCAGTCATTTTGTATTGTGCACAAGAAATTGATACCACTTTCTGAAAAAGGTATCAATTTGCCGTGCGTAATACAAAATGACTGAAAAACGGCAGACTTAGCAGGGCTATATTATCCACATGTTACAACATTTCGCAACGAAAATTCAGAATATTACTAATTTTGTGATGCTCTTTCAAGTTGTGGTGAAATTTTTGTCTAGACTAGTCTAGATCAAAATTTTGTTTATTAGGTAATGGGTCCATTACACCTAGTAGCATTTGATATTTGCATGTACAAAATAATGCAACTGCAGTATACAAAATCAAAAGGCAAGTGCACATACCAATGTAAAGACCATCTTTCCAACTGTTAAACCATTGGATCATTCTGGAAAAGATCTATCCACACTTCCTTTATGGAGGAAATTTCTGCTGTCCAGAGGGTGAGGGGACGAAATCTACTTCTGATGATAGTAAAATGTACTAGGACATCCAAAAGTGGTAGGGGGGTTTACATCCAATTTACTCTGTGGGCGTGGCATTTATATTTTCTGGAATGACCATTAACATTTGACACCCTCCCCTAGAACAGTTAAGCAATTGTAAGGTACATTGCATTGCTGTTCAAACATTGTCTGGACGAACTATTTTTTTATGTAGGTTGTTTCTCCAAATACACCTGATTGTCTGCCTGTGTTGGTTGGAGGACAAAATGAAGAGCCTGTCGAGGCAGCAGCAAACGGAATACAGGAAATTGAGGAAGAAGTTCCCAGACTACCAACTGAGAGCAATGAGGTGACCTCTTACTTTCATTGGATTATCCAAAGATTATTTTGCTAAGTATAAACATTGCAAGAATAAATAAATTTAAATACCTTTGTATAATCCTGGAAGGCTGGAATGTTAATTAGTTTCGGACTCTGGATTAGAATCTGACTGTCAAAGGGAGATTCTTTGCAACTGACAAATTAATGTGAAATATTTATTAGGAAGCATTTGATGTGAAGGCAATTGAAAATGCTGTGGTCAGAGAGAGCAGTAATGGTGATGTTTCAAAACCAGAAATTGACTTGTCAAGACAATCACCTGGCCAGATGACAGATGTAAGTATTTGTAATTACACCCCCCACCCCACCCAGAGAATACTTCCACCCCAGAGAATACTCCCCCCACCCCCAGAGAATGCTTCCCCCAC